AACAAAAGACGATTCCCATTTATCAATAAGAATCTTCAGAATGAAAACTTTGACTCGTCTGATCTCATTTGGTAATGGGTCATTACTCAAAGGTTTTCCTAGAACAGGTGAATAAGTAAAGGAACATTTCGCTATTTTCTTGTTCAGAGATCATCCAACTACAACCGTTTGAATTTTATTAGAATAAAATGTATATGAATTTGATTTGGAAGGAAAATATTTCGATATATAAACTCCAGGTTCAAATAGAATATAAAAATCTTAAGAGAAAATAATGCAACATTTCGTTATGGATGTTCGAAATGGATGGGTATGGGTGTGGGTGTATGTACGGTACTGAACAGGTCTTACATCCACACTCCACGTCTATACCTGCGAGTGTTTGAAAATTTTCATCGAATACGCATGGCTTTTTTTCTTCTGCATTTGATTTGCAAGAAGTTATGGCATTTTTTTCCAACTTTGCACATTTAGTTCTTATAATGGAAGAATCGAAACACGAGTCATCATATTTACCTTTTTATTAGTAATGACGAAATATACCGAACAACGTTGTTTCTTTGTGAGTATGTTTGCGCAAGGCAGGTATAGATTTGTCCGAAAGAAAAACAAGAGTTGCAAACGAAATTCACAAAAAAATAATATCAAAAAAAGTTGTTATAATAAATCTTGAAGAAAAAGTCTGATAATTCGAAATATCGAAAAGGTTTACCATGATGTTGTCAATCAACCTGATATAGAATGTATGATTTCATTCGATAGAAAGGCATATGAATTAGTGATATTTATATATTAAAGAAATAGAAAGTTTCAAAATTTTCAAATATTTACTCTCAAAGATTTCTGTTACATTAGAAATTTCTATCATTTCCATAGATAGTCAAATTGCTGAAAGTTCCAACGTTTCGAAAAATTTGCTTTTTTGTTTGCATTGTTAATCAAGTTTTGAAGTTATGAAGACTTTTAACATTTGAGTAATTTTATTTATTGGAAATTCCCACATAGTTCCATCAAGAGCTGACGCTAATTTGTGCGCAGACCTTATCATAAATTTTAGTATCGTTTCTCCTTCGGTCGATATCAATCATTATGTTGAAAATTGAAAATGTAATTAATTACGAACCGAAATATTGTTTTTTTGCTTCATGCTTTGATCTGTATTATCAAATGAGCCACCGATATTTATCGGATCTCCTAGTATGCCCAAATAGGCACAAGCGAATTTCTCATTTGTGTTCACGGAGCGCAACACACAATAATTGAGTTCATCTGATTTATCGTTTCGGCAGGTAACGATTAAAAAAGAACGTCAAAAAACTGTTGTCTATTCAGGTAAGAGAACATTTTTACGCGTGCAACTGTGTGCTTTCGCTGAAAAACATTATTATTATTTATAAAAGTAGATTCTCGGCGTCATCCACTTCAGACTTATTTGCTTTTCAAAAAGCAAATTTGTTTTTTGAAAACATACAAACTATACATTTTAACGAGGAAAAACGTATTTCTCTTTATTGATTTTGCATGACTCAATTGTATTTTATCTTCTTGTTGATTTATTTGTAGTGTCGGTGCTGCTACTCATGACGTCAAGAGAAATTTTTTATTACTTGGATATTTCTCTAGTTTTTGTTTTCGACAGCTCATATATATATATATGCATGTAAAATATGTTAGTTTTATGTTTAATTTCAATCAGAATTACAATGGCTCTATTAAAGGAACAGAAGATTGATATTTTCGAAGTAAAATTTGATTGCAAATTCTAAAATTCATTTCTATTTTATTGATTTATAGTCATTTACCAATCGGCATGATCGACAAAATGTAATCATTTTTTTAGAATTCTACGAATGGAATATAGATGTACGTGAGTTCTAAATTTGAATGAAGAAATCGAATCGAATTCAAACACTAAATAACTTTTGTTTTCATTAGGTTGCTATCGAAGCATTTTTCATGAATCCTGGTAAATCTTTTTCTTTATTTTTCTTAAATAATTTTTTTTCTTTATGATCAATTCAGAAGAAATCAGTAATGTTCAGTCAAATACGCCGACTTTACTTCGAACTAATTCAAGAGAGGTAGGATTCCGAGATGAATTACCGGATTAACATCCGACAGACAAAAAAACAACTTTCTGAAAATTATTTTTCTCTTACAGACTCATTCATTGATGAACTCATTGCAACATTCATTTAGTTCACTACGTTCTTTACAAGCAGCAAGCAATTTGAATCAGAGTACAACTACATTGAATAGCCTATCACTTGAATCAAATGCAGAAACAATATCTTCAATGTTTCTAGATATGAAACAATTCGTTCCTAGTTAGTTTTAGATTTTTTAGTTTAATATTCATCAGAGATGGAAAAAATTCAGCTTTGTTTAAAACCTTATCTGTATTAGTCACTTATCAAGCAAAAAAATGATGAGCATAAAAAAAAATAATATCGCATGTAAATAAGATTTTGACAAAATTTATTCATTTTTAATTCGATCAAAGTGTAGCACTTTTTTAATCGAAGTCAGTCTGATTTTAAAAATTTAAAATTGTAGATGCTCACATCCGACATGAATTGGTCTGTAGTTTAAAATAATCCGATAAAACAAAAAGTGACTGACTTGTCGAAGTCATCTCACCTATGTAGTTTTATAAAATGGACTATCAGTGATAAAATTATTTAAAAAAAATATACATAATCTTTTTTATAAATATTATTTAGACAAAAAACAACTTCTTCAATATATTGATTCAAATATCATTGGTAATAATATTCGAATCAATACTCCATGGGGATCTCGAAAAAGTATGATTACCTCTATTCTCATTATACTAAGCAAATTCATTATTCTTATACAGTGATTTATGCTGATTATACAGCATCTGGACGTGCTCTAATATTTATCGAACAGTACATGCTGTCCATCGTCTTACCTTAGTAAGAATAATTTTCATTCGGAAATAAAAAAATAATATCGTTTTTAGTTATGCTAATACACATAGTGAAAATAATGCATGTGCATTACAAACTACCAAATTTCGAGAAGGAGCACGAACATTAATTAAACAATATGTCAATACAACAGATAATGATGTTGTTATTTTTACTGGATCAGGTAAATAAATCATTATTCGTCAATTAAATACTTAAAGAAATAATTGGTAAATTTGTTAGGATCAACCGGTGCTATTAATAAACTTGTCGATGTTTTACATCTGAGAGATGAAGAAG